AGTTTATGGCTAAGTTGCATGTTGCTGCTGTTGCACTTGGTTCATAAAAAAATAACTTATTATGCATTAAAGCCAAAGTAATTGCGTTAGGACCGGGATATCCTGGTTGGTAGGGCACTGGACCCATGTCCAAGAGTTCGTGGGTTCGATCCCAGGTCGACCGAAGACTCCCCGTGCAGTAAATGGTGACTGATGCACGTTAAATCTGTCGAGTTGCAAAGTCCTTCATGTTTCCATAACAAATCAACACCTCTGGGGTTACTGATCCAGGAGTTTCCTTGTCTTCTGAATTGGTTCAAAATGACAAGGCTACGGAGTTGAACGTTAGAAGTCGTAAACCCAAAATTGGGTCGGCTGCTTAACGACGAATATAAAAAATAAATAAAAAATTGCTCTAACTTATGTCCCTTTGCCATTTTTATCAGCAACATAAATTATAAATTGCGGTGTTTAATCTTTAAGCCATTTTTTTGCTACAATACGAGGACTTGATATCAAAAATTTTTGAAATGAATCATGAATTTGAAAATCTAAAATGTTGCAGATACCCTGCAAATAAAAAATTTAAAAAATAAAACATTAAATATTGATAAATTGGTACAGAAACAATGAAAGGTAAAATTGAAATATACCCAAAGAAACGCGTCAATTTAAGCAGCAATGACTGACACATAAATAAAACATTCTACAACATTCACCTCACTGACACCAAAAACCAACATCTGATTCAGAAATCCAGTGGCCCTAGATCTCCTCTAAGCCCTAGGTACAGAAGTGTTTACATATCGTTTATTTGCGCAATGCTTTTAAACTTTTTATAGCATAAGCATATACTATATTTGTAAATGCGTGCTTGTATTTATTTCAAACTTTGCTATCTGAAGATTCTAACCGACAATCTCAAAGAAAAATACACAAAAAATATATTGGCAACAATGAGTCAAGTTGCGACCTGGACCTCTCTGGCCTTATGAATCCTTGCCGAAAGCTACAGTACCTAGTCAAATTATTATACGCTCTATAATATTCTATGTAAAATCTTAATTATCAGATGATTCTATACGACTTTATTGTTTTTACTCGGTTTGCCCATGCTTACGTTCGCGTATAAATTGGTGAAATTNCTCCATCCTTGATCCATCAGTAAAAATTTTAAGGCCGCTGTTTGTTGGGAGTGATCTACCGTAGGGAACGGAAATAAGTTTTGATGGGTGAATCCTAGTTGGTGGATCATCCATATGTGCTGTGAGGAGAATCTGCTGCATCTCTAAGTCAAAATCGTTAAGTCTCCAATTAAAGGCTCTATAGACGCTCTACATTAGACGCTTTATAAGATTCTATGTAAAATCTTAATTATCAGATGATTTTATACGGCTTTATTGTTTTTACTCGGTTTGCCCATGTTTAAGTTCGCGTATAAATTGTTGAAATGAGTAGATATATATATTATAAATTCGACAATTGGTTAAATTAGACGATATATTATATAAATATATAGAATATTTATTATATCAGGCATTATATTAGTATATTATAATAATTAGACCGAATTATTCGACGCACTGTCGTGTTTTAATAATGACATGTTTTGCACGTATTTACATGCATTACTCTTAAACACACATGTAATGGGTTTTTGTAGAGGAGATTTCTTATATAATTCCAATTTGTATTTATTTTTAACGTACTGCATTACAGTGTTAACCAATCAATATACCATCGATACATAAATGTTAACCAATCGATTAAATACTAAAACAGATAACTATTTACGAAAAGTCATAGGTCAAACTAACCAGTGAAGGAACACTTCGCTTGCCTTCTGAAAAATCATATTAAATTCAAAATTCGTAATTTTAGTTAAATGACAGTGTCAACATATTTGTTACTAATTGCAAATTATGTAGAAAAAAAATTGTAGAGAACTTACATAACATTGTTTTAAAGTTTTGGAGGTTCAAATAACAAGTAGTAAGAAGACCAAGTGAAGGAACAGCTCTTACCAGTGAATGAACACTTAATTTTGGTTATTTTTAAATGCTCTTTATGAATGGTCGTACAAATATTTAAAAACAAGCCTATTCTTGAAATTATAGCATGTAAATACTTGGAAATTGTTAACTTTTTTTCGTAATCATGAATTGAAAATTAAAGAGTCAACTTATTAACACATAAAGTTCATTCACTGAGAAATCTATGCCCAGTAAAGGAACATGCCTGTTCCCTCACTGGTTAGAAGTTGTTTTTTGTATTTTCAACATACTTCTGATGCAAAACATCACTAAGGGTACAAGAAAATTAAAATTTTTCTTTCATTTTCATTAACTTAGAAAAAACCCAGTAAAGGAACACTTGCTCTTCACTGGTTTTTCATCGCTTGGTGATCCAGTGAATAAACACGCCCTTAGCTCAGCACTTTATTATGCTATGATGCTTAAAAAAATAAAACGTAACTTCAATAACTATAATTTGAATTCTGTCTTTCACAGTGATAAAAATAAAACTATTACATGCAATTAATTCCACTTCAAACATGTAAATACAAGCACTCACCTTATAATTTTTTCAAAGAAACAAGGTGTTGCAGAGATAATAACAAACTTTTAACAATTTTTTTCCAGAGAAGTCTATGTGACCAGGTAATCCAAAACATTGCTAGATGACTTCCTAGTGTTTGGCAGTAAGCTATTGTTACCAATCAATCTAAAGAAAAACTTTCAAATTCTTAAAATATTATTCTTATTTATTATATTTTGTTTTTGGGATCGTAAAATCTATAGTCTCCTAAAATAAAAATTTCCTTGGTGTATTATTAATTTTACATTAAATTGATTCACTTAATCTCAGTTCAGGTTGTCCTTGAGTATGGTTAATAAGGCTCTTTTTTTATTCTAAGGTAGCTATTTGTTTACTTAAACAATTTGTAATATCTTGTTCTTAAAAAATGTGAGAAGTGTATTTATACATTCTTTATTGTTTTTATTTAGAAGATAAAAAGACTGTTGAACAAGAATTAGCAGCAAAGATAGCTAGCATTGATCACCACGAGGAAATTTTTCGAACATTGGATTGGGAAAAAGAGAAGACTTATTAAAACAAATGCTGAATTTAATTCCACAGCTGTAAAAAAAAACAAGAAAATATTCTAAGTATGAAGAAAAACTAAACCATATTCGTTATTTTCTATAAATATTGTAAAATTCTAAATTTGTTTAATTATATGACTAAATGCTATATTGAATTCGCATAATTGTAGTAGTGTAATTTTTATTAATATGACCCCTATTATAGCAACCCTTCCATCACAAAAAAAAAGTCAGTTCCTCTGTGGTTTATTTTTGAGTTTAAACGTTGGTTGCGACAGCGACAAGCTGCTAATGTCATAACTGGAAGAATATTAAATGATGAAAAATATTTTAAGATGAAATAAAATAAGTTATAACCTCTTTAGATTACTAAAAGTATCAGCACAGCAAAACCAAAAGCATTAACAGGAAATAACGAACCACACATCACCTTGTGAAAGCACTACTGGAAGTAGCAACCTAACTATCAAAAAGGAAAAAATTAAAATGGATAAGCACCTTGAAAGCGCTACGCATCAAGTTTAAGTTAAAATAACGCTCAATTACAGCCTAAAACTTAATTGAAATCAGTAACAGATTGGATGGAAATTGTATACATCTAGATGTAGAGGGGATGATTTTATTATTCAAGGGTAATCTAACCAGTGAAGGAACACTTAAGAACTAGTTCAAGTTTATTTCATCGTTTTTTACTATGTGTTAAATATTTCAATTCCCATATCTATTCTCATTATTATTCTTTTCTAGTACTTTATTATTTTGAGTAAATAGCTTTCTATTTTTTTAAATGTGTAAATTTTAATTCCTTTTTCTGCAATATAGTATTTACAAAGTATGGTTGTCGGCACTTTATTTTGTCTGTGTTTGAAAAGATAAATTCTAAAACAGCAAAGTTAATGTATTATACATTTTTGATAGAAAAAATTAAAATAGTGAAAAAAATCTCAAATTAAGCATCACCAAAAAACGAATAACAATTTCAAGAATCTAATTTTATCTGTCCAACATTATCGCCACAATCTATGTGCTTAGACTTTCACTTGTTGAAATTTAATTTAGTGACATTATTTCAGCGATTATTATTAAGCTAGACGTTTTTGCTTCACTAAAACACTATGCAAAAGAAATTCGAATTCCTTTCCTCTAAAAAAATAGCGTCGCTAAATAGAACTTATCGCCGATCGCATTTCTAACAACTTAGTGAGTAGCAATTAATTTTTAACTAGTATTCTTTACCTTGCGACCATAAAATTTGCCATTTTCTTGTTTGCTGCAAAAGAAAAACTTTATTACCAATCAAAATTAGACTAATTTCAGACTAGCTATATTGCTTAAATTTTAATTAGATCTCTGTATTTGATGCCAATGAAAATTATAAATTTTGTCTTAAATGGCACTTTTAATTTAACTAAGTATAAAAAGTAAAAGCAGTACTCAAAATAAAGCCCTGAATATCTTTTTCTAATGATCAGATTTTTACTAAGTTCCAAACGTGGCAGTTCAAACGGGGAGCCTCAGAAACGAGAATTGGAGCTAACTATTCAGCTACAGAATCTGTCACAAATACTTAGTTATTAATTATTGCTAGCTAATGAAGTCATTCTTTTGAAAAATTAAGATTGTTACTCAGTTTGTGAAAATCCGGACACTGGAACAAAAAGTTTCTCAATGTGATATAGTTTATTTTGCGCACTGTACAGCATTGAAACAGATACGGTAGAAACACTTTTAGCGCCGTTCACAAAATATGTAAGCTAGTGTTTCAGTTTCAACATGGAAGACCTCCGAAATCTGGTTAATCTGAAAGCAATCATATTATCGAAGTTTAACTATATACCCTTACTGGGTAACTTTAATACAACTTTTAATTCATCCTAGAAATTGACAACCAAAGAAAAAGACAAAACCCAAATATCAGGAATAAGCTATTTATTTATGGCTAAGAGTAGAACAAGACACAGAAGTGCATGTAACTATGCATTATGTAAAAGAAGTCTCACATAAGTAATAAAATGGAACAACATATACAATGCAAGCTCGAAAACACAATATCAAAAGTATCATCATACAATACAAATATTTGCTACCACTTTAAAGTAGAATAAGTAAAACAGCAAACTATGAAGGAAAAAAAACCCACACTTTTAGAACTTTCACATAGCTGTAACCTTTGGTTTTATACACAACTCGTTTACTAATAAAGTATTTTTAAAAAACTGTAAAGTTTAAATGACAAAGTTACGAGTAAAAAAGTTTAGTCCTGAATGGAAATATATTACAGTAAATGAAATTCAAATCTTGAAACTTTTTTAGGAAGAACAGACAAAAAGCTGAAACAGTAAAAGCTTTGGTAAATCTCAACGGCATCAATTGTTGTCATTTCGTATCAAAAAAAATTCAATCTCTTTCATTTTTTAGTTTAATAAGTATACTTGCTATAAATTTACCATAACCTTCATGCTCTCACAATTCAAAGTGGGAATGATATATTCAAATTGTTTAAACAGTAAAATAGCCATTACATTGAATAACACAAAATAAAATCTCTGGAAATGCATGAACTTTGAAACATTTGACAAGATTATGTTCACGTTTCTTAAAAAAATAATTTTACTTTCCTTCAATAAAAATAGGTTACGGTCAGTATGACAACTATGTAAACACTTAATTCGAAAGACGTTAACTGTCATTGCAGGGTTTAGAGTAGGAACCACGGAAGTCTGTTCTCGAAAACTTTCAACAAGTTTGCTTAGTGCAAAAAGAGATATCCAACTGAATTTAATTTATTGCACAACCAGGGTTGGATGGCAGACCCATTTCTGGGTTTACGATTATGACTGTTCAGCTCCATAAGATCGCACACTTGAAACCAGAAGACGAGAGGACTCCTGGATCGAAATAGCCTTCATGGAGGACTTACGCTGCAACTAACCCGCATTAGCGTTACATGGAGAGGGAACCATGAAAACCTTCCACGGTTAGCTCGACGGTATGGGGATTTTTAACGCACGAATCAGGATATTTTACGTAGACCAGAAAGTTCTGAGATTCTAACCACATCTTTGGGAATGAAATCATCTTCGAGGAACAGATCAGTCTCATCTCATTTGAGAAATACAAAATGGCCCTTTCAATTTCCTTTTAAATCTCGGCAACACTTGAATCTGGAGAATGGCGCAAACTTTATTCTCTGCTAAATTAAATTTATTATAAGTAAAAAGGGCTTGGAGGAACAATAGAAAAAATAAAAGTTCATCTCACCTACTAGGCCAGCAAGTTAATTGAAAGTAGGCAGCAACACATCAGAAAACAACTTCCGCTTTTCAGAGATTAGTCAGATGCTTTCTTCGAAACTTTCCATCTTTTGCAATTTCAGCTCCCCAAAGCGTGTTCACATCAGCAGCATATCAAGAAGAAGATTCTGAAAAATACCAGAGACAGAAGCAGTACCGATGCACACAAAAAAGGCTGAATTAAGCATAATTTAATCCAATAATAAGGCAGATAAAACCTATATTCAAAACTAATATTGTTTGAGATAAATTAAATCATTGAACAATATTAGAATATCTGCAGTAATAAA